AGCTTTGCTTAGCAAGGAACTCTTCAATGAGCTAAACCACAAAAGGAAACGTAAAAAGTGGAAACTTGGAGAATAAGAACATTGCTTGGGCATGCAGAGATGAAGTCAGGAAGGCCAAAGTGCAACGGGAGTTGCAGCTAGCAAGGGATTTGAAGGGTAACAAGAAGGGCTTCTACAAAATTTGTGAGCAATAACAGGAAGATCAGGTAAAAATGTAGGTCCCTTATTAAATGGCGGAGGCAACCTAGTGACAGAGGATGCAGAAAAGGCTAAAGTACTCAATGTCTTCTTCACCTCAGTTTTCACAGGCAAGCTCAGCTCCCAGACTACTGCAACTGGCAGGACATTTTGAGGAGGAGGTAAGCAGCCAACAGTGGACAAAGAATATATTAGAGACTATTTAGAAATGCTAGGCATGTACCCCTTTAAGAAAGGGAAGGAGGAGGATCTGGGGAACTATAGACTAGTCAGCCTCACCTCAGTCCCCAGAAAAATCATGAAGCAGGCTCTCAAGGAATCCACTTCTAAGCACTTGGAGGAGAAGGTGATCAGGAGCAGTCAGCATGGATTCACCAAGGGCAAGTCACGCCCAACCAGCCTGACTGCTGAAAACTGGCTGAATCATTGGGCTCAGAAAGTAGTAATCAATGGCTCAATGTATAGGTGGCAGCTGGTATTCAAGCAGAGTGCCCCAGCGGTCAGTTTTGTTCAATCTCTTCATCAAGGACCTGACAGATGGCATGGACTGCACCCTCAGCAAGTCTAGAGATGACATTAAGCTGGGAGGAACAGTAGATAAATTGGAAGATAGGGATAAAATTCAGAGAGACCTAGACAAATTGGAGGATTGGACCAAAATAAATCTTATAAGTTTCAAAAAGGACAAGTGGAAAGCCCTGCAGTCAGGATGAAACAATCCCATGCACTGGTACAAGCTGGGGAAAGACTTGCTAAGCAGCAGCTTTCCAGAAAAGGACCTAGGGGTTACAGTGGACAGGATAGGAGCCAGCACCGTGCCTTTGTTGTGAAGAAGGCTGATGGCATACTGGGCTCCATTAGTAGATGTGCTGCTAGCAGATTGAGAGAGAGAAGTGATTCTTTCCCTCTATTCAGCACTGGGGAGGCCACACCTGGAGTACAGTGTTGTGTTTTAGCCCCCCACAACAGAAAGGGTGTAGAAAAATTGGAGAGTCCAGAGGTGGGGGACCAAAAATGGTTAGGGTGCTAGGACACATGACCTCTCAGGAGAGGCTAAGGGAACTGGGCTTATTTAGTCTGGAGAAGAGAAGGCTGAGAGGGGATTTAATAGCAGCCTTCAAATACCTGAAGGGTGGTTTCAAAGAGGAGGGAACCACACTGTTCTCTGTGGTGGCAGATGACAGAAGAAGGAGCAATGGTCTCAAGTTGCAGCAAAAGAAGTTTAGGTTAGGTATTAGGAAAAAACTCTCTCATGAGTGTAGTAATGCACTGGAACAGGTTACCTACAGAGGTGGTGGAATCTCCATCATTGGAGGTTTTTAAGGCCTGGCTTGACAAAGCCCTGGCTGGAATGATCTAATTGGTGATGGTCCTGCTTTAAGCAGGGGGCTGGACTAGATGATCTCTTGAGGTCCCTCCCAACCCTAGTTTTCTGTGCATCTATGATAAGCAATAAGCATAGAACACTTAAACACAAAGCTCCCATTGTTTTATATTTCATCCTTGAAATGCTTCATTTTAATCCTCAATGTCATTAAGAAATATGTAGTGGTGAAAGAACATACAGGATTGTATTTGACATAATTTAGAGTATCAGAATTCTATGAGTGAGGGGGGTTCTGAATTTACTGTACAGATCTCTATTTTTAATGGTAATTGTACAACAAAAGATCTGAACATTGACCTGGCAAACATACAAGTACATGGTCATATTCTAATTTCCATTCTAAAGTAGAAAGGGATAATTAAGAATTAATTCTTTCACAACCGAGTGGAGAATGCGAAACATGACATTGTTAGAATCACGGTGACAGTCTTACAAGAAATATTTTGTTATTTATGAATGAAAGAGAGAGATATAGTAACAACATATTTTTGTTTTAGAATTTGTTTTTCTGTGAAAAGTCAGTTAAGAAAGGAAGAACCAAAGCATGAATGAAACAAGAAAAAGAAAACATTACCTTAATATCAAAAGCTGCTGGTTGGCCCACTTGGTTATACAGTTCCAGTTGATCCTTAACAGGAGTTACCCACAATGCCAGCTGACTTAACTGTTGTTCAAATTGGGTCAAATTATTTAGTAGATCTTCTATTTCTTTTTGTTTTTCTGGAAGATCTTTGGATACCTTAAAAATAGAAAAAATTGTTAAGTTTGTTTTGTAAAAAAATTGTGTGGACATATATAATAAAAAATGCATTACTGTTAAAACAGCAGAAATAAAAATGTAATCAGTGCTGGGGAAGAGGGAATAGAAACAGATCTATGTCATATGTTAACAATTAGACAGATCCATGTTTTCTCAATAAATAAGACTGTTTCAACAGAAAATGTTATTTTAAGAATAACAATATGAAAATGTTTCAATGGCCCTTACATCCAGAAGCTACCCAGACTATTTCAATTTCTTGAAAAAGAAAATATCTTTAAAGAACATGTTTTCTTACAAAATGTTTAATACCACTTGTTTCTGGTCAGGGTTCTGAAGTGAAGTGCAGCAACAGATGAGAAAGAAAAAAAATCAGCTAATATATGCAACTATTTGTGCTTCAAGTGTAGTTTCAAACTTGATTGGTATTTAAGAAAGTCTTAGGTAGAATTAGACATTAATCTGATTCTCCCATTCCCAATAGCTGGTATTTAATTGTTTAATTATTGATTTTATTATTTTATTATTGCAGCTTTTGGGTGGAACTGTAGAAATCAACAGTATGTACACATTTGAAGTGAAGACAGAAGTAAATTGGAAAAAAAGCAAGCCATAGCTAGCTGCCATAGTTTAATGACTTGTGGTATAAGAAAAGAAACAATTACACTTTTCTTAATTTCAGTATCCTTTATATCAATTAATGCTTATGTTGTGCTAAATGAAGACAGCAATTAATCATTATTAAACTCAGGCACAAGTAGTTTTTTGGATAGCTTTTCAGTTTAAGAAATCAGTCTTCCCTGTGGCCATTGTCTTTTAAAACAGGCTTTTACTAAAAGGCCTTTTTAAAAGCCAGGAAATATGGGAAATCTCTGATAAACACAGTTAAACCTTAATTCCCCTTGGAGTTACACTATATTGATGGAAGCAAGTCTATCATACTGCCTGACTACAAAATATTACTGATACATACTACCTACTAATCCCCAATGATGCCATTTACAGAAGACAATAAATCGAAGTCCATCAGGAACCAAAAAAAAACCAAGGAAGGTTTCTATGTAAACAGAGCTGAGGAAGTAAGAGGAAAATGGTTCTCTCAGGATATATAACTTTTTCTTTGTTTCTCCAAACCACATTCAGTTTGAAAACACTGTTTAAGATGAATTAAAGATTTACAGTGTATGAATCTACATGAGACAGTATTGCACAGTTGTTACTACACATTTATTTAGTACGTGTATGAGCAAGTACTAAATAAATGTGCAGTAACTGGAGTTACTGCACAGTAGTGCTGGCAAATATTTTTTAGGTGATGCTGCTGCACAGTAGCCTAATAATACTGCACAGTAGCATATCAGCACTGTCTGTGCTGTGATGTGCTACTGTGCAGTATTTTTTAGCTACTGTGCAGTCACCATCTCATGTAGATCTGCTTACTGATATGCAATTTATTATACAAAAATTGTGAAGATGTTTGTTATTTATACTTTTGTTTCACCAACACATTTAAAGTTACTGTTTCCTTCTCATACTCATGCATCCTGACCAGTAAGTGTAATCACTTTCAGTACCCTCTTGATCTTAAGCATAACAAAATCTCTCCCACTCCTAGTAAAGTCTACCCTTGATGTGAAGTTAAAATGAAAAATGCATTAATTTCTTATATGTGTTAATTCAATATCTGTGAAGACCTTGGCCTAATTTTAAACAACATTAGGTTAATCTTTTATGCAACTTTTGAATGTTAAACTGCAATGTTTAGCAGCTTTAATATTACTATAAACACATTCTTCAAGATATTACTGTTGAAAGTAAACAGGCAATCACAGGAAAACATGTGCCATATAAATCTAATCCTATTCCTGAATGTTTAAATCCTACATTTATCTAATTTCAGATACATATTTATCAAAGGTATTGAAGTGAGTGCATTAACAAGAACACAGACATTCATTTGAATTTTATTTTGTGAAGGAGAAAACATAATTACCTACATTCCTAGATATATTCAACTTTGAATGCCTACATATACCGTTATGTATACACAAAGATTATAAAGAGCCTAAGAGTAAGTTATTGGGACCGGAAACATTCATACAACAAAGATAATCTGATGAAACAAACCGACTGTTCATAGGGCAGATTAACTAAGTCAAAGGAAGCTACATTTTACAAGGAAGTTTAATCCTGGGTTAATTATTGTAGCACAGATATGAGATAAGTATTTACACACACATATACTACACACATATATGTAGGAAATATGTAAAAAGTGACAAATAGTTGGAGGAAAATCTGTGCTGGACATGATCAGGAGATACTGTTAACAGTGTTCTAGTATTTATACACACAGTAATTTTATGTAAACTAATTTGCCATAGCAACAAAAAATCTTTTAACATGACTTCAACTCCAAATCAGAGAAAGCACCTTGTATATTCTTGGACTTTTATGAGATGTATTTCTCAAAATAAAATGACAATGGCTCACTTCAGTAACAGTGATCTCACTAAAGAGAAGATTCCAACTGAAGAATAAATGGAAACTCTATGAGATCCAGGAAGTGTGTATCTGCTACCTGATGGAAAAACCAAATTTTCTCACTCCTAGAAAAGTTGTACACCATCAAAATATAAATGTTGGGTCCTAATAAATATATTGTGATGGGGGAATGTGGTTCTTTGTGTACTATTTTGTTTGTTTGTTTGTATGGCTTGTTTTTTTTTTTTTTGGTTTGGTTTGGTTTGTTAATCTGTTAACTGGCTAATCAAGGAAACTTTAATCACTTCTGTCAAAATAAGGGATGATGCTGCAACACAGGTATGAAAGAAAGGTAGGCATTCATAAAGTGGCAAAAAAGAGGAGGATAGAAAAGAAAAAAATTAGGAGGAAAAACAACTCCAATGTAAAGGGCCTGTTAAACCTTATTGTTCCCCGTGAACATGTATTACTATCCTGAAAAACTGTGTTGGTTGACAGAAAATCAACAGGATATAAGGATATAGCCTGGTCTGTGGCCAAAGGGAAGAGACAAAGAGTATGAATTCTTCTTCTTAAGAAATATACTCAGACTTCAGCATCAAAGAACCAATGCAGTTTTGGTCACAATGTTAAAAAAGGGCTTTCCAACAGGTGGCCCATGAAGAGTTAATGTGCAGCTCCTAGAGTCTTACCAAACCACTGCTCCCCCTCCCCCCTCATCGTTTTCCAGGCTTTCCTGTCCCACCAGCTGCTGCTTCCTGCCTTCAGCCCAAGGAGTAGGGAAGTTTAGTAGAGTGGGTAACATGAATGTGAGTCTGGGGTTGCACCCTGGGAGGACTGGGTTACATGGGGGAGAATGGTACCCATATGGGCATGCAGCACAACTGGGCGGGGATGGGGATAAATCATGCAGAAGTGTGGGGAGGGGGCTGCCTGGCATAGCAGCGGGTACGGGGAGCATCCTCATGGCGTCATTGCTGTGGCCTGTGAGATGCAGCCCCTGTTGATGTGTCTCCCAAGACTTAGAAATTGGACAGCCCTGTGTTAAAGCATTCATCTGAAAACATGTGGTACATCTGAAATTTAGCACTCTAGTTCTTCAGTTAATTAAGTTAGATTAATTGGCAGCTTAGTAGCTGAATAATTTAAAAGATTTAAGCTCTCAATTGGAAAACAGTGGAAGATCGTAATTTTATATAAACTGACCCAAATTTTCATAAGACTCATTAAAATATGATATCATTTTGGAGTTAATTTTATATAGCTGAACATTTTCCCACATTCCTATCTGCACTAAGATGATTCAACACACACAAATACACACTGTGAAGTTTTTAATACAGCAAAATGTGAATGAATACCCTTAATTTAAAATCTAGATTTTTATCCACATATTTTAATATTTTCCCTTTTTGCTCCATTAATTCCAAAATCAATTTCTACATTATTTTGTCTGTAGATTTGGGTCACCTTTTCGTCTTGCTCCCACTGTCATTAGTCAATTAACTGTGTTTATGCCAGATCTTTCCCATCTTTCTTCCTTTCTTTCTCCAACACCCATATTTGTTATAAAGCCCACTCAATACTATTATAAAAAGTGAAACCTGCTGGATTCCCTTGCTGATTGTTCAGCTCAAAGGCTTCCCACAGTATTTGGAAAAAATAAATGCAAGGAATATGGACTGCAAAAGATATGCTGTGGCTTAAGTTATAAAAGACAATGGTTACCTGGAACAGAACCCATTACAGTGGAGATCCAGATTGCCTATTTGGATGGATGGCAGGTAAAAGAAGTAGAAAGGTAAATAGTAAAAAGGAAAGGAACAAACATCATTGTGGGGCTACAAACCTTCTACATATCAAATATATTTATGGTTTCCCCTATCGAACCATTCATGGGTGGATCTAGAATTTTGAAAAGGAGGGGTGCAGATGATTCTATGAAATGTATTATCACATATAAAACAACACAGATTTTTTTCTCCAGTTAAACAACAAACAAACAAACTAGAAGCTTTACTAAGATGCCTAGCACGCTATGGGCCTACAGTTGTATTATTCAGTTTAAGATTGAAGCAAAAACAAGTGTAACTTAATCAAAATGAGGGGTGTGAAATAGGAGCTTCGGTATTAGGAGCAGCTAATAGATAGCAGAATTGCAGAAAAGAAGAATAGCTTGATTGGTCAAACATCAAGACCATTAAACAGAAGAGAGGGTCATCAACACCTGTGGAATGAACCTGAGGTTCAACAAGAACACATGCAAAGTCCTGCACTTAGGACAGAAGAATTCCACTCATTGCTACAGGCTTGGGACCAACTGGCTAAGATGCAGTTCTACAGAAAAGTTCCCCTCTATTCTGCATTGGTGAGGCTACATCTGGAGTATTGTGTCCAGTTTTAGGCCCTTCCACAACAGAAAGGATGTAGACAAGTTGGAGAGAGTCCAGTGGGAAGGCATTTAAAATGGTTTGGGGGTTGGGGCACATGACTTC